TGCTAAATGAAAGGTTGGTGGTTCAAACCCACCAGCCACTCCTCAGAAACCCTGTACAGGGTCACTATGGGTCAGAACCGACTCGACAGCACTTACCAACAAGAGCAGCAGCATTTGTGGGTGTTGCTGTTTATTTGATAAGCCAACCTGTTGGCTTCAAAGGGAATCTTAGAACACTAGTCTTGGGAGTTCTAGTCTCTTATCAGCCCAGTAAGTCTGGCTTGTTTTTTGTTCGTTGTTTTGTTTTTGTTTTTTTTTTTTAGGAATTTGCATTTTGTTCTACATTTTTCTCACATTTTATCCAGGACCACCTACTATGTTCCTAGTTAGAAGAACAAGTGATTGTAGCTCGAAACCGAGCACCGTCTAGTTGCTCTGGTCTGAGGTTAGGTGCGGCCATGGCTCACTCACTTGGGCTGTTGGTTGAGGCCTCCTTTGTTCTCTGCTGTCACTTCCTGGCTTTGACGGTCCCAGATGTTCCTTTCCAAACTAGGGTGTAGAGCATGATCTTTGTGAATTATGTCATGCCAATTGTCTGAGGTGCCCTACAAGACTATTGTCCCAAGCCTTCAGACCTAGTAAATCAGGGCTGTGGGGTGCTTGGTTTTGTCTAGGTGGTATATGTACTGTACCCCTGGGGGGTTTCTTATCTACGTAGTCTATATGCACATGAGCAGGAATAAGCCTGTGCTTGCAGACTCGCCTGTATGCACGCATTCACATTGCCTTTCTGTTTACGTGGATACATGTATTCTATCTGTGTAACTATACGCAGTACATTTGGTTTTTATACTTACTGTGATCTTAGAGAATTTGACTTAACTGTGGAATTTGTGGCAAATTTAGTAAAGCAGAACATTTGTAGCTTAATCAAATGTCTGACAACACTGTACAGAATGGTTTCAAAGCAGAAGTGGACAACACTGTACAGAATGGTTTCAGAGCAGAAGTGGTCAGTCTTCCCTTGCCTTTCCCCAGTCCTGTGTTCCTCCCCAGAGGCATTTAAACAGCTGGGGTTTCCAGGGCCCCTTCAGAACCCTTGGCAGCACCTTGTTTTCAGCACTTTAATCATTGTAGCATCTTTCCCTCCTTCCTCTCCAGTTTCAGTCATTTAGTCAGTATCGCTGTAAGACCGCCAAGAAGTCGGAGGAGGAGATTGACTTTCTTCGTTCAAACCCCAAAATCTGGAATGTTCACAGTGTCCTCAATGTCCTTCATTCCCTGGTAGACAAATCCAACATCAACCGTCAGTTGGAGGTGTACACGAGTGGAGGTGAGTGCGGTACAGCCGGTGGCACGGCCTATGAATGTTGCGCTGTTGCCCCCTGCTCCCAGTGAGTGGATCAGCTCCCCCAGGGGCTCTCAGCACTGGGTCAGAACATGAGCCAAGAGCTGCTGTTGACCTCCATGCTGAACCAGCTCTCACTGCCATCTGCCCTTCCTGCTGTTCCTCCTGTGTCCTTGGCTAAGATAAGCCCTTCTCAAAGGGATTGATGCCAGGGCGCCTTACACTGTTAGATCTTGAGTACTGTGAAGGACTTAGTTTATTTTAAAATTTTGTTTAGTGAGAAGAATAACAATTTTGCAAATCTCTTTAGTGTCTGGCCTACTAGAAGGCAGCTGGACTCATTCTGCCTCTACTGTCCGTCTGTTGCAATCTGCTGTTTTGGTTCAAGTGTCTGTAGAGTCTGGCCTCACAGATGTTTACTAAGAAAAGGAGGGGCATTTTACTAGACTTTTCAGATAATCTGATCACTCTCTGCTACCACACCCAACTCAGCTGTCAGGGTGGAGCCTGAAATGGTAATGAACACTCTACTTGGTTATATTGAAATCCATTGGTCTGTCCAGCATTTTGAATGGATCTTTGACTCATGCATGATCTTGAGGCATTGTGGATTGGCCATTTGGAAAACACTGGTTCACTGTGTTAAAAAGGTTTTCCAAATGTTGATGTATTTTTATTGAACAGGAAAACTCACATTTGTTACTTTCACCACCTACCTTATCAGACAAGTCTATTAGGAAACTTGTGAGCTCGCATTAGCAGCTGTAAGATCTATATGATCCGAATTTATCCTTTGAAGCTCAGATTTCTTCATTGGTGACCAACACTGTCATTGTCTTCCTTGAAGGGTGACAGACTGCTTCGTTTGTTCTTGAGAAGGTGTTTGCCGGGTGCCCAAATCGGAACCATCATGTTGCTTTTTCAGTGGCTCTTTCCAGTGAAAATGGTGTTTCCTGAAAAAAGTGCTAGTTCTTGGTGCACGTGCACGTGCGCGCTGCCGAGGGCTGAACAGTGCCGTGCAACCTGGTGTCAGTGCCTGCGTGTGCCATCTGTTGGCATGTTCACACCCATTGCTTGTGCATCAGCACTGCAGATATCAACAGTGGGGGGCTGTTAGAACTCCCAGGAAAATAGCTTTGACCTGAATATCCTGAGAGTAGAGGGACCTGGGTGGGTAACTTCCTGATGAGAAGGAGTGCCCTCATCTTCTTCGGTGGGTTGAGATGGGAAAACAACAACTACCACTCTCCAAGCAGTTGTTGGTAAGGTTAAAATCAGCTTGGTGCTGGGCGTGCTGTGTTTTGGTGGAAGTCTTAGTGGGTGGCAGCAGGTAAAGAGCTCACTGTGCGACAGTCAAAAGTCCAGTTTGCTGTTCCTCACCTGTTTCCTGCTGAGCGGTCACGGTGTCTGTCTCTTTCAGGTGACCCCGAGAGTGTGGCTGGGGAGTATGGACGGCACTCTCTCTATAAGATGCTTGGCTACTTCAGCTTGGTGGGGCTTCTGCGCCTGCACTCTCTACTGGGAGATTACTACCAGGCCATCAAGGTGCTGGAGAACATCGAGCTGAACAAGAAGGTAAGTGCCTCTTTTCCCAGCTGTCAGCCCAGAGCCGCACTGGCAATATGCTTGAGAGACTGATCTCTTAGGGCAGTTCTCAGGCCAACTGAAAATCCACGTGAATGTCTGGACCTGGACAAGATGATTTGTCTCTACTATTTAACAACACTTTTGATTCTGATTTCAAAACAGTAATGTAATAGATTATCACTATTGGATATTCACTTTTCTTAAAGAATAAACGAAAGATTGGGCTTCAAGGCAATGTTGTTGTTGATAAGTGTCATGCGGTCAATTCCGACTCATAGCAACCCGTATGTACTGTTTTTGAGGGACAGCTGGTGGACCTTGAGGTTAGCAGTCCTATGCTTATTCTGTAGTGCCACACCAGGACTCTAAGGTAATATGTTGTTGTTAAGTATTGTTGAGTCCATTCCAACTCCTAGTGACCCTGTATAGAGTTTTTATGGAGTGGCTGGTGAGTTTGAACCACCACCCTTTTGGTTAGTAGTTCAGTGCGTATCCTACAGGAATGTCAGTGTGCCTCCCACAGCACTCTCCACTCAGCAGAGTTTGACAGTTCAGTGCAGTGACCACACAGAGCTAGGCCACCGAGCTCCTAGTTGTGGGGTTTATTAGGGTAGTGAGCAGGTTACAATTCAGGATTCCAATCACTGCGGGCGCAGCTCATTCCGATCCGACAATCTCTTCCCAATCATGTCCGAAGATGGCCCTCTCTGATCCTTGGCCTAGGAGCCCTGGTCTCTTTGACCTCTTCCCTGCTCTAGAAATGTTACAAAGCTCTTTTAAGGTTGCTGGAAAATGCCCAAAGGCACTCCACTCCACTATCCACCTCAGCCTGAAGGCTCTAGCTCCATGGGTCCGCTTCCCCATTTAAATGCCTGGAGGCCCCCCCATTCCACAAGTGAGTCTCTTGCCTGAAGGTATTCAGTGTTACTTGCTCCTGGGCTTCCAGCCACTGCTCTGTCTGGTATTCTGGCTCTTGATTCGGCTGCTGTTGCTCTTCTGCCACTCCTCCAATGTCCTAGCTTTCTGTGCCTGGTTCAAGGAGGCTCAGTGTGTAGGGATCTTAGGGCCCAAAGATGCACTCCACTCCTGACTCTTCTTTGATGGTAGTGGGATTCCCCCCTCCTGCTTCTAAGATGACTTATTTTATACCCAGCAGAATGGCAGCGTTTACCAATCACAATCATCCTAAACTGGAACACTCATTTACAGCTGAATCACATATCCTTCGGCATCTTCCCCACCTTCTTTTACCCAGACCTACTGGGAAAAAGTTGTTTGGTGGGTGTTTGCAAAGATTATAGCTAGAGACATCAGCAACTCACATCACCACAGATACGTAGTGATATATGATTAGCTGTGTTTTTCCCATCCACAGAGAGAAAAACTGATTTTTTTGGTCTTGCTGTGGTAAATATATAAATAACAAAATCATTGTGGTTAACTGTCTCCACGAACAACTGCCTCCATCGTGGTGAGACCAGAAGTACACAGTGTCTGACTTCCATTACCAAACATATTGATCAAGGTGTTTAGAAAAAACCTGGTCAAAAAAGGGTAAATGCAGAACAGAATGTAAAATTTTCATGGAATTCAGACTATCTGGAGCCATGGAGGCTGGACAAACCCTTGAAATTATTGCCCTAAGATCTTTTTTTTTTTTTAAACCTTTTATTGTGAATTGAATGAAGGTTTACAGAGTAGATCATCAGTTTTAGATTCAACACATCATATATTTTGCTTCATCACAGTGATTGCAATCCCCTCCACATACCAATGGTTAACTGTACGTACCTCTAGTAGCTTTAATTCTTGCACTCCTCCCTCTGGATCTCCACTTGCATCTTTCTTCTGCTAACCTCCCTCTTGTATATTGTCTGCCCTGTCACCCGTGTTAACTGTGTCTACCTTCTAGCCCATGAATAATTTTCCCTCCCCCTGTAGCCATCGTAGATTGTTTGTTTTATCAAGAAAACCTCTTCTAAACTTTTTATAACATTGTTATTCTTCAGTGTTTCATAGTATTTTATTCTGTGTATGTACAAAGTTTGTTCAGCCATTCTTCTGTTGATTGCATATAGGCTGTCTCCATCTTGCTGGTGTTTCTTCTATAGACATATATTGAAATATCCTATTTCTTCTCCATTCGGAGTTTTTTTTTTTTACTTGTTGAATTTGTCTGTCTCTTGATTGATTGATACATTTAACCCATTTACATTCAGTGTAATTATCTATAGGTTTGAATTGTTTATTTCACATCATTTTCTGTGCTGACTTTATTTTGTTTGTGGGTTTTCATTTGTATTTCTGTTGTCTACTAAATTTTTCATTTTATCTTTTTTTATTTTGCATTAATTTTCTTGAGGTTACCCTGTAGTTAATAATTTTTTTCCTTGTTTAAAACAGTTTGTTTTATCTTGAAATCTACTTGACTTCCTTGCCATTTGGAAGTTTATTACCTACACTATTCCCACTTCTTGCTTTGTAGTTGACCTCATTATACACTGATATCTCTGGTTCCCTGTTTTCAATCTTACAGATTTGTTTTACTTCAAATGCTTCTATATCTGAATTGCATTTTGGGAGATGTTGTCACGTATGGTAATCTCAGATTGTTTTCTGCTGTTGTTGGTTCTCAGCCCATAGAATAGATATCCTTTAGCATTTTTTATAAAGTTTATCTGGTCATTACAAGATGCTTTAATTTCTGTTTATTAGGAAATATTCTTTTCACCATTGTATTTAAGGGTCAGCTTTGCTGAGTATCTGGTTGGCAGTTTTTTTCTTCAGTGTTTGGTATGTGTTATCACATTGCCTCCTTGCCTGCATGGTTTCTGCTGAGAAATCATAGCTTAGTCTTATTGGTTCGCCTTTGTAGGGAACTTTTTGGTTTTCCCAAGCTGCTCTCAGGATTCTTGTCTTTGGGTTTGG